ATTGACCAGAGAAAGTGTTATCACCATGCTAAAAACAAGTGAGCATACTATCCTCGTGTTTTAAACTATATATTTCTTATTGTGAGAAGGAATAACATAGCATAAAACGAGTCGGAATGTGCCAAGAGAGAAGGTTTTATGTCCACTATTGTTCCCAAATCCCAACGATAAGATGGTTAGCTCGACTACCTAGCTAATGAAATCTGCCACAATTTGAAGCCTTCAAATGTATCTCTGGCGGACTCACTGCCACAATTAGTAAAAAAATAAGTAAGAAAATGAATTTATTTATTATTTTATGAACTTAAAAGTTAAATGTTGATGTTATTTGTTGGATTTAACTATAAATATTTAGGTATTGTTGTTAAATGTTATATTTAACTATAAGTATTTGTGATTTAATTTGAACTGTCGCATTTTGTTTAAATATGAATATATACCGTAACTAAATTCTCTGTAAATATATTTGTATATGATTAAATTCATTTGATACTAATGATTTTTCACATTTTTATTTTTTTAATCGATATGAATTGGCACCAATTAGTTGTACCACCGGTAGGGGGTGTTCAAACGATGTGGTTATCGTAGTAACCGTTTTATATTGGTTATTTTGGTTAACTAATTAACCAAACCGATTAAATTTTAGTTTGGTTAATTTGGTTGTTGTATTAATTTGGACAGTTTGGTTATGATATTGTATTTCATAGTTAATAAAATATATACTTATTTGGTTTGATAATTACTAGGGTAACCATTTGAACACCCCTAACCACCGGTAGTACTAGTTCACTTGCTTAACCGCACAATCGTATAAACCGGTTTGACAACCTATTTTTTTTAGGCAAAATACACTTTCATAGCCATAACTATTCGCGTAATGACAATAATAGCCACTTTTTGAAAAATACACAGATATAGCCACTTTTTCAAACTTGCTTGACAACTTTAGCCATTTTCGTTATAAATTTTAACGTAGACACTAACGCCGCCAATAACCTCTATGTGCCACTGAGCTGGACGCCACCTAGACGACACATCATTGCCAACTAGATGCCACATCATATTTTAAATAATTTTTAACAACAAATAATTAATTTTACTAAAAAAATAAAAATAAAAAATTGTAGAAAGAAAGAAATTGTTTAATTTTTTCTCTCTCTCTCTATTATCTGCTTGCTTGCCCGTACACAACAACCATTGACCTTTGCCGCCCACCGAAGAAGTCATCGCTTCCTCCAGCCTTCCTCTCTCGATCATCGTCTTCCTCCGCCGCCGCTCTCTTGCTCTGATCATCTTCACCGACGAAAAATATCCTTCAATCAGTATGATATCTTTCCACTACTTCTTCTTCACTAAAACTAGTTCGAATCTCCCGACAATTAGCTTCTCGATCCGTAATTTTTATTGCTCGATTTTCTCCAAAACCCCAAGTCTTCCTAACGGCGACTATGGATGAGTGATGGCTGTCAATCTATTTATGGTACTCGCCCTGCACTCACCCAACCCTCAATATCTCACTTCTTCAATTTTAAGGAGAGGGGCTTCAAACAGATCTGGAGATCTCGTCAGAGATGAGGATTTTGGAGATTTAATGGACTAGGCGGCCAACATAGGTATCCTCTACCACTGCCGTTGAATCCATCGTCGCTGGATTCGGATATCACCACAATCGGTGCCTGCTCGTGCGAAGGAAGGTGAACAAGGTGAGAGGAGGTAGAAATTCAAAATTTGGTTGGTGGAGGAGCTTGCCGTAGATGGAGGAGCGTGCCGCGAATTGGTGATTTCTTCCCCTAAATCATCTGAAATTAGGGTTCGCCGGGCTCGCCTCGCGATTATGGGTTGGACGATTCAAGCGACTGGTGCGACAAAGGATTAGGGTTCGCCGTCGTCTATTCACCAGCCGGATGATGCATGGTTTCCTCTGTCCAAGCTTCACCGGAGTTGGAGGAGCGGTACGGGGACACGTCGTTCACTGGCTCGATAGAGGGTTGGGTCAAGGTGTGTCTTCGATCGATGGACTTTGTCGATCTGGAGTGATGGGGTGTTGTTTCACTGAGATAAGAAGGAGAGAAGAGAAAGTGTAAAATTCGTTCGAAATAGTCAACAGGGTCCATTAATGGGTAAAGTTAATTTTAGGTTTTAACTTTTTTTTTTCAAGTAATGAAATAAGAAACACTTTCCACCTGTCCTGCCACGTAAACCGCGACTACAGTACAAACATCCGTTAGTCCAGTCAGCAGTCGTGGGATTCTCGTTAAAGTTTTGGACGGAATGACTATACGAGTGTATTTTTCAAAAAATAGTTATTATTGTCACAACGCGAATAGTTATGATTATGAAAGTGTATTTTACTTTTTTATAGAACGAGTTTGACAAGACCAAACTTTTAACCGTGGAGAGAGTGGGTCATGCTGTACTAGATAGCGACAAAGTTGGGCCAGCTCATTTTCCCTTCAAGTTGGTCATAAACTCGTGATTTCAAATTGTAGTCCAGTTGGATGTATCCTCAAGATTCCTATCATTTCAGAGATATCGCTCAGTCGGATAGGGCCACGAGCCAGCCACACGCCTCTACACGTGCCGACTCCTACACCGTCCACGCTAACCTTCATCTGACGGTCTAAAATGCAGCGCCATCCACTCTGGAACCCTCTTCGTTCCGCTTAAAACCCCCCTCCGATTCCCCATTGGTCTTTGTCCCACCACTCAGAGTCCCATTTCTCCCTTCTTTGAATCGTCTCCATTTCCCGACCCTCCAGCCTCGGAATCCCTCTTCTTCTTACTCGGATCTATTAGCCCTTTCTGTTTTGCTGTTGTGAATCATGTTTCTGAAAGCTTCTCCGACTGTGTCTCTCGCCCATGGCGGCCTTTTAGCTTCTTACGAACTAAACCCTTCTACCCTTGTATCGAACCCCGTTCTGGGTTTCTCGCAGAGAAAGGAGAGAACCAGTTCTCTGGTGGCTTTTGCCAAGATCGGCGAGGTCAACTCGGCGCTGACTGGCTTGGTGTTTCAGCCTTTTGAGGAAGTGAAGAGGGAAGAGTTTATGGTTCCGATCTCCCCTCAAGTTTCTCTGTCTCGTCAGAACTATTTGGATGAGTGCGAAGCAGCAATTAATGAGCAAATCAAGTGAGTGAAGAGCTCTTAATTGATTTCATTTCCCAGCTCTTATTTTTCTTTCTTTTTAACAATTTCGATTGGGGAATTTTTTATTTGGAATCCTATCTGTGACACTTTGATTTTGTGCTATGCAGTGTGGAGTACAACGCTTCGTACATATACCATTCTCTGTACGCTTATTTTGATAGGGACAACGTCGCTCTCAAAGGCTTCGCCAAGTACTAATTCAATAAGATCCACAAATCTTTGTCCACCTTGCCAATTTTTGCTTTCTATAAGCTAATTGCTTCACTGGATTCAGATTTTTCAAGGAGTCAAGTGAAGAAGAGAGGGAGCACGCTGAAAAGCTTATGGAGTATCAGGTACTTCCATATACCCTTTTAAGCTTCTATGGATCTAGAATCTTTTCCCCACTTTTTGGGCTCAGTTAGTAACACTCTGTTTGTATTGTTAGAATGTTCGTGGTGGGAGAGTGAAGCTTCACTCGATCCTCATGCCTCCTTCGGAGTTTGAGCATGTTGAGAAGGGAGATGCTTTGTACGGTAAGGAAATGATGCAAATCACTGTCTCTTTTGAAATTGAAATCCCCTGGACTGTCCGATTAATCGTGAGGCCTCGTTTTGTTCCTTGGTTCAGCCATGGAACTGGCGCTTTCCCTGGAGAAGTTGACTAATGAGAAGCTGTTGAGCTTGCACTCCGTAAGTAATTTATCATGTTCAAAGTTCTTTCTCTGCTTGAAAGTGCTCCTCAATGCTGCGTTATCCTGAATTGGGTTGTCTGGTTTTGATCTACGAAAAACAGGTGGCAGCTCGGAACAATGATCCACAGATGGCTGAATTTATTGAAAGAGAATTCCTCAATGAACAGGTGAGACCGTAATTGCCAATTCTCTATTCTGCATTCTTGGACTTTAGCTTTCATGGTCCTATCACTTGTGTCTAGTATGCCATCAGTATAGTTTTGGTTTCCCTTAGAGCTTATCAAGACAAGCCCGTAGAGCAATAAAATATTGAGGAAATGATGTTGATTTGGGCGGATTAATATGATTAAACCAAAAGGGTGACAAAGAAAGATATCAGCTATACAACATCTGATCAGTTCTTATCAGTCGTTTGAGAATTTAAAGATGATATCTTGAAAGTTGCTAACTTTGTATGATGGTGGAAGTAATTGGTTGATTATTGATTTATGGGTTAGGTGGAGAGCATCAAGAAGATATCAGATTACGTCACCCAGTTGAGGCTGGTTGGGAAAGGCCATGGTAAAGTTTCTAACTTGCTTATATCCTTTTTCTTATTCCATTTAGGTCTCCATCAATTTTATTGATCTGATTTATGTTTGGATTGTTTGTTGTCTTCTTCTTGTTCTTCAGGGGTGTGGCATTTTGACCAGATGCTTCTCAATTAGTGTGATGCTCCATGATGTAATGGATGCTGGTTCAGAGTTTGCTAGTGGAAGAGTTCTTGGATCATTATGTAACTGTTGGGAGATGGGAAATGTCAATGTGTCATTCCCTTACCTTCCCTTTCTGCTCTTCTCCTGTGAAAGGGTATATAAATAAACTGCTGAGTGTAGCATGTGTGGCTTAGCTTTCCCCCCATGTAATGAGCCGTCTGTTTGCAAATTTGCTCTTGAGAAATGAATGCACTTAGGCTCTGAGGTGTGAGTCCATGTTTGATTTGGCTTTAATTCTGTTCTCCCTGCCATGTACCTCCATTTGGATAGCGTGTCTCGACTCGTTACCTTAGCAGATCATCCGTTTCATCAATAACATTTTCAAAAATTATTCAGTTCTGAAGTCCTAGATCACACAATTCCTTTTTCTTTCTGCAATTTCCAGCTCCTTTTATGAAGAACATTCGGGGATATGGCGTTCCAGTGCTTTAGCCATGGTGTATTTGGGTCATTGCCTTTCTCCATTCTCCTGCATAACCCGTAAGTCGTAACTGATCTTCTGAGATACTTCCATCACAGACTAATGATACCAACAAACCAAGCAAAATTCTTGAACCTGACATCTGTGGTGAGGATTCCCAGAAAAGGACAGAAAATCTATTTGATCAACTAATACCTACACACCAAAAATTTCTGCTCCATGTATTCTTCAAACTGCACGGATATTTACATAGACAAGCAAAACTGCAAATGGCACAGAATGGAAGAGCTGCAAAAACAAAAGCAATATATAGTACTCGGACTGATGATCACTCTCCGTTTGCTGCCAATTATGTCGGCCTGAAACAGGATCCGAAACATGGGACCCTTCTCGTCGCCGACGATCTGCCACGGCGGCGAGGAGGAGCCGGCGAAGGATGATGATGATAGGAATGCAGCATCTCCCACATGACCTGAATATCAGTATACTCCCCGCAGGACTCCATGTCCTTGTGAAGAGCCACCAGCCCACGTTGCTTCTTCCTCCCTGGAAATCGACCACTTGGCCATCAGAATGAAAACCCACCACGATTTGAATTATCAAATAGTCAACTAACCCGGCAGCATTGATTGCAGTGTTTTATTACCTCTGCTGCTGCCTCGGACGCTGGCAGTGAACTTGACAAGGGCGTACTTTGTTGACGAGAGTAGAGAGTTTCGCTTGAACAACAGCCATCGCTGCTTCCACCGACTGTTGTTGGGATTGTTCATGGCTTCCTTTCGAGCTTCTTCACTCATCAATGCTGTTACCTTGCCTAATATACCCTCCAAATTTCGTGAAGCTTTGGCCTTTGCGCAATCTTCTGAATAGGAGGATTAAACAAATTGATAAATTGGTAGCTCCCAAAAGGATTTAGACGCGCCGCAAGCCGACGTTCGGCAGGACACAACGGCCTCTCTCTAAAGTGTCGCCTTGTTATTCATTCTCCTTCTTCTTCTTCTTCTTCTTCTTCACCTCCGTTTCCCCCGCAGTTAAAAGGGCGAACTTTACCAAAACCGGATAAACAAAAGCGGAACCCCGTGGAATAATATAAGCTACCGACTCCATTTTTTTCCAATTTGTATGATCATTATCAAGATGTGTGATATGATTTGCGCAAATATATTCAGATTGATTAATTTGGATACGTAAACTAACCAGCCAATCACGTAATTCTGTTAGTTACTCCGTATTTGGTAATTGGTAGAATCAGTTCTTTTTGTCATTATCGTGCTAAAATCTTATATTGTACTGTTTATCTAAAACTTACCTTGGCATCGGCATCTTTGGTTCACACATTCTGTCTTTACTGTAATAAAAAAAAAAAAAAAAAAATTGGGGGCAGGGGACAATGGATAGCAGGCAGGGCCAGGTAGTTTTGGAGCTGCCTGCATTTCAGTTTTTGCTTACCAAATATTCCGAGTAGTGAGCAAGACGGCAACTTCTTCTGCTTCTGCTTCTGCTTCTAGCTATCTGCGCATGCGAGGGAATTGGGGTGGTCAACCGATTTGCTTGGCGTTTATCTCAGCTCTTTTCTGTTTGTTCCTTCACTTCACTTCCCTCCCTATACTATAATCCTGTCACCGAAACCCATAAAGACTTGTTGGTAAATCATAATACGATGGAAATTAAATTGTTATATCTTATTATTGAAATCAAAGTTCTAAATAGCACACCTAGGTCCAAGTCAAAAGGAAAACGTCTCCTCTTGACCAAAAACAGCGGACAAGGCGTTACGATCACGTTGTGGCCTCGGCGGTACCTAATCAACATTGAGATGCGCCTCAAAATGATGTCTTTTTCTACCTTTTGATATGCTACTAGGTTATAAACAAATCAAGACCATCCTTCCATTTCCTTCTTCTCCTCTCGATTGTTCTTAGACGCTAGACTAGTGTTAGAGATGTTCATCTTTAGATTAGCTTCTTCATTCTTTTTTGGGCTTCTTTGCTCTCAATCTACTTCGTTATTTTTTCAGCTTCTTCTTCCTTTCGCATCTCTCCACACTATGTTTTATACTTTACCATGTGTTGTTAATGAATGTTTAGAAATGAGAGGTAGATGCACTGATATTAGTTCATAAACTTGTAATTCTAGACAAGTGTGAGATATTTTGCCACATTTACATCTAATGCGTAGGCACGCCTAGGAGATGCCGAAGCAAGTTATGCGCTAGGCAGAGCCTGAACGCTCGCCTTACGCCTAGCTATTTCTTGAACCTTGATTGAAACTATGTGAAGGTTACTAAAATTAAGATAGGGTCGGTGCGTGTCCCCAAGAAATCATTGATAAGTGCATTATTGTCCGCTTTCATCCTATTTCATTTGAAAAGAAATATACTTTCCTCACCCTTTCTGGGAGAGAAAAACTTTCCTTGATCATAGTCTATCGGAATAGATCAGTTTTATATTAAAATACGAGTTGGATAAGCTCTACAAATTGTGTGAGCAAACTAACTTTTGCAGTTTTGCATCTAGGGATCACAGAGCAATGACCCAGCAATGCATATACGTTTCAAAGTCCAAACTTATTATAATAGTTTTTTTGTGATCTTTTGTACAATTGTACAGTTTAAGATGGAGTTAGGAGGACGTTGCTGGAGGTGCGAGGCTGCGAGCATGTGCTCTCCAGTCTCCACCAACTATTTTTGGTATTGCATAGTAACTGCTTCCCAATTTCAGCGCCACCACCAACTTTTGGCCAGAATGATCATCACCAGGCCACATGCTTCCTTTGTGGTGTGGTAGCTAGTAACTTGGTGGATGTCAAAATAAGTCCATAGAGGAATACGTAAAGGTGCAAACCCTTTATTCCAGAATCTACATTTTCATCATTCGTTTCTTTTTTTAGAAGACAGTCAATGTAACACCCCGAACCTTTTGCTGACGAAGATAATGTTCGCTATGAGCCTGAGCCCTCAGGGTTTTTTTATCTGAGGTGCAATTCAAGGTGACTTCCCATAAGGTCATCCATCCTTGTTGTACTACACACTGAGCACGTTTAACTTCTGAGTTCCACAATAACTCCTCCATTACACTCCAAAACAAGTCTTGTCAGTTAAGGTAGGTTTCTTACTTATGAACCATGGATCTCTGTTGTGCTTTGTCGATGTGGGATTTGCCAAAGGTGTTACATACCCCCCTAGGGGTGGGCAAACGGTTCGGTAAACCCGAACCGAACCGAACCGAAACCAAATTAAACCGAACCGAAACCGAAACTAAATTAATGCTATTCGGAAGGAAAATATGGATAGTTCGGAAATCAGGGTTCTTTCAACCGAACCGAATTTCCGACCGAAAAACCGAAATACTATAATTGCAAGCTCCAAATGGTGGATTTTTATGTTTGTAGTTGTTTTTAGACTTAAATATTTGGAATGTTTTATGACTTATGTGTTGAAAAGTTTGGTTTTATCATTGATGATGCATATAATTGATATTTATTGTTTATAATAGGGGTGAAAAATAATTTAAAAGTGAGAAAATACTAGTAGCTTCACAAATTCGATTTTGTGTGAAAAACTGAACCGAATTATAGTTCGGTTTAAACCGACCAAACCGAATTATAATTCGGTTCGAATTCGGTTTGAGTTTTGGGAGAATTCGGGGATCCGGTATTCATAATTTTGGTTCGGTCGAAACCGAACCGAGCGAATGCCCACCCCTACCCCCCCCCCCCCCCTTTGGGACTCAACGGTCTCGTTGAGGTTTGGCCCACCATCGTTCAAGAGGGACGCAGAGAGGCTCTGATACCACTTGTAACATCCCGAACATTTTCATGACAAAGATATTGTCCGCTTTGGGCCTCGGCCCTCACCGTTTTTGACTTGAGGTGCAATTCAAGGTGACTTCCCATAAGGTCACCCATCCTTGTTGTACTCCACACTGAGCACGTTTAACTTCAGAGTTCCACAAGAACTCCTCCATTACACCCCAAAACTCGTCTTGTCAGTTAAGGTCGGTTTCTTACTTATGAACCATGGATCTCTCCCGTGCTTTGTCAATGTGGGATTTGCCTAAAGTGTTACACTCAAGATTAGGTTAGAGATAGTTTTGCAAACAAAATATATCTGCATGCAATTACTACCATATTTATAACTTTACATCTCTTCCCCAACTCTACGAATCCTATCTAGAGATGGCAATTTGAACCCGTTCGACCTGGTATTATCCGAGCTAACCTGTAATAGCGTGGAGCGGGCCAGGAGTATCTATTTCTGACAAGCCTGCAGCGTCCTAACCGTTCTTGGCAAATTTTCTGTCAATTTCTTATAAAATCTATTCATATTTCTCATATTTTGACATTTCTTCAACTAGTTAAACTTGATATTTCAACTAGTTAGACTCAATTACCCATTCTATTATCACTATTTTTCATTCACAAAGCGTTGTTACTTCATTTTATCGTAAAAGGTAAAATTTTGCTTGTATTTTATTCAAATAACATGTAAGAGTGGGTCAAACCGCCTCGCACCGTACCCGCGCGCGTATTATCCGCCCTAACTCGTGTTTGGTGTGGGGCGGGTATTAGGGGTGGGCAACTGGAAACGAGTATTTGGGTATACCCGTCCCATTTTTTGAGGGTTACGGGTACCCAAATACCCGTAAAATTTTTTTACGGTATGGGACTTGGGATCAATAATCAGTACTTTGGGTACCCGCGGGTTACCCGTTAATACCCGTTTGCATATTACGGGTAGCCGTTGTACCCATTATGGCGGAGAAGGATGAGTTGCAGGACAGAGAGATGAGCTATTTTGAGACGATGAGAAGTGGTGGTTGTTACGGCTGCGTTTGGAGTGGTATGAGACACGAGGGGAAGGTCACTGCTTCCATTTGTTTAAGCTGGGGAGCGGAGAGGCTGGGACGCTCATGGAAATGATTGTTGGGTTCGTGAAGCAATGTTGAAAGAATGATCTCCAAAAGCCCAAAACCTCCTCTTGAATCATACTGTATATATAAGAGCTTGTATTTGTTGGATCAGATGAATACTTGGTTTCCAACCTCTACAACAAAACACGACAATTATGTTTCATTGTGTACACTAGTAACACAAAGATCTTACCGTGAAATTGTTCGTATTATCATATTCCACCAATTTCACGAGTATTTACAGGTAGTATGGGTACCCGTTGTCCGTCCCATACGGGTAATGGGACCCATTAACCCATACGGGTTTGAGACATGGGATGGAGATTGCTCTCCAAATGGGATTGGGTACCAGTTTCAAACGGGATGGGTATCCCGTCCCGTCCCATTGCCCACCCCTAGCGGGTATGGATATTGAGGTATCCACACCATTGCCATCACTACCCCCTCTCTTCCATCACTTCCCTTTGAACTCTTATCCAAGAAAAATGTTATCATATAGAGTTCTACAGAAATACCATCGGGCCCAGTTGCTTTATCCTTACTCAAATAATTAAAGATTTTCCGAATTTCCTCTATACTCACTGGTTTATATAAGCACTCACTGTCTGCTTCATTAAGTTTGTGGTTCAAAAGCCCTTGGAACTATTCCAAACTTTTTGGACGAACTTCTGGATTCACTTATCCAATCTGTATCTAGTAGAAACTCACTACCACTTTAGCCATTTCAATATCTTAGTAACTAGAGGAAAAGAAAGCAAAAGCGATTCTCGTAGTAGCGGTGAGCGAAATGGGAGAAACCTAAACCTTTTCAGCACTGGATTACTTCTTTGCATAGACATATTATTTATCTTTTTTCCTGGCTTATCTCTTTTCCTAGCTTGGTGATCACCTTCATAATCTACTTCTTGTGGCACTTGATTTTCACTTGATTTGCCCCTCCAAATTCTTATTGCTCCGGACAAATAGGCAAATACCACCTTCACTTGTCCCTTTGGCACGTTTGCTTACCGACGCATCCCTTTTGGTCTATGCAATTCTCCAGCCACCTTTTGGAGATGCATGGTGGCCATATTTAACTAGCTGGCAGGTGACATTATGAGGATCTTCATAGATGACTTAGTCGTGTTCAG